AAATAATATGAAATAATAAGATTAATTAATAATAAAAGCAAAAGTTGAAAATAAAGTGATGAGCTAAATTAACAAAGAAAGAAAGCAAGCACAATAAAAAGAAAAAGAAAAAAGAGCTTTATTGTTTTTAATTAATTAAAAATATCACAATCAAAAACAAGTAAATTGTTTTTACTCAAGGTCAAGTGTCAATTTTGAGAGATTAATGCAATTTGCTAAAGCAGAACCTAAGCCTGATGCACCCATTGCACCAATTTAATTTCCACTTTTTAAATATTGAAGAAAAAATATATCATTAAATAGAGTAAGTTACCATATAAATTTACAAAAAGCGAGTTTTATATACCAGTTTTTGCATTTTATAAAATTAAAATTTTAAATATTTTTTATGAATTTTTTTCCATTTTAGTTAGGTTTTCAAAATTTATTTTTTTCAAAAAAAAAAGATATGTTATGCTTTCTAAAAATTAGTTTTATTTATAATGCTATTAAGATATAAATTAAATAATTATTTCTCTCTAGTTAATTAGGAGGAAAAAATGAAGAAAAAATATGAAATAATAAGATTAATTAATAATTAATAAAATAAATAAATAATGAAAAAATAAGAAATCATAATAAAAAGAAAAAGGAAAATAAATCAAAAAAGTTAAAAGAACTATTTTATGTTTTAAATTAACTTATATAATTAAAAATATTACAATGTAAAACAAATAAATAGCTTTTATTAAGTGTAAGTTTTAAAAGCAAAAAATGAAGAAAAAATATCAAATAATAAATAATAAATAATTAAAAATTGAAATGAAAATTAAGTTAAAATAGCTAAAAAATTTTAGTTTTAATAAAAATCAATAAATAAATAATAATGATAATTTCTTTTATAAAATTATTTATTAAAATAAATTGAAAATTAAATTTTCAAAAAATATCAATAATAATAATAATAATAAAAATAATATTTTTTAATTAAATATACTTCAGATAAATATGGAGAACCTAATGAGATAAAAGTGAAGAGCTTTTAAACTTTTTTTATTAATTTATATAAATTTAAAGTATATAAATAATTAAA